GTACATCATATGTAATGACACTAACATATCCAGTGAGCATCTCTACGCACTAAGTAATGTTGATGGTAGCCATCTGTCAGGTTGACCTCATCAACAGGTTATCATTAGCTTGAGAAGTGAACGTAACACCATTCTCACTAAATTCTTTCCCAAATACAGACTGTCATTAAAGGGAACGTCATGAGGTTTCAATATATATACTGGATAACTGGCTGGTATACAAACTAAATCATGGTAGTCCCACTGCAGCGCTACGCAACACAGATTCTACCGTCGTTCAACAGAAGACTGTAGAAATAATTCTTATCATCTGTCTACAAAAAGAAGAGGATCTATTGGTCCGAATGAAATGGCTGCTTCCGACTCATAAATTTAACAGTATCTTAAGCAAAGAAGTATGCAGTGGTTTATCAAGCACTCTGCTCAGGTTTGTGTTATCCGTAGGCTTCACTCACCCATCCTATACAGTAGGGATGTTTGTTAGGTAGAAGAGATTTCTCGGGAACTTTATGAGATGCTGGGAAACAAGTTATAGTATTGGTGAGAGGCTAAGACAGCTTTCTTAATTAGTTCCACAGTCTTAAATCCTCTGGCAAACCGGATAGGCTTGTAGTCTGAAAAGTCATCGACCATTGTTTCTGTGAGAAATGGAAACTCTTGGAATTTGGCGACTGCCATCCGCCTACGCACCACTCTCTAATTTCGAAATCCTTGGAGATAAATATGAACAAGTGACCGTTCCACATGTGACCCCTGTGGAGATCTTACCCATAGACTCTCGCCGAAAACACGGGACACTGTGCCATATTTTCGAAGCCATAGATTATTATGCCATCGGCGTCGCTTAACTGATTATTTGAAAAGACAGGTATCCCCAGTACATCATATGCAATGACACTAACATATCCAGTGAGCATCTCTACGCACTAAGTAATGTTGATGGTAGCCATCTGTCAGGTTGACCTCATCAACAGGTTATCATTAGCTTGAGAAGTGAACGTAACACCATTCTCACTAAATTCTTTCCCAAATACAGACTGTCATTAAAGGGAACGTCATGAGGTTTCAATATATATACTGGATAACTGGCTGGTATACAAACTAAATCATGGTAGTCCCACTGCAGCGCTACGCAACACAGATTCTACCGTCGTTCAACAGAAGACTGTAGAAATAATTCTTATCATCTGTCTACAAAAAGAAGAGGATCTATTGGTCCGAATGAAATGGCTGCTTCCGACTCATAAATTTAACAGTATCTTAAGCAAAGAAGTATGCAGTGGTTTATCAAGCACTCTGCTCAGGTTTGTGTTATCCGTAGGCTTCACTCACCCATCCTATACAGTAGGGATGTTTGTTAGGTAGGAGAGATTTCTCGGGAACTTTATGAGATGCTGGGAAACAAGTTATAGTATTGGTGAGAGGCTAAGACAGCTTTCTTAATTAGTTCCACAGTCTTAAATCCTCTGGCAAACCGGATAGGCTTGTAGTCTGAAAAGTCATCGACCATTGTTTCTGTGAGAAATGGAAACTCTTGGAATTTGGCGACTGCCATCCGCCTACGCACCACTCTCTAATTTCGAAATCCTTGGAGATAAATATGAACAAGTGACCGTTCCACATGTGACCCCTGTGGAGATCTTACCCATAGACTCTCGCCGCAAACACGGGACACTGTGCCATATTTTCGAAGCCATAGATTATTAGGCCATCTGCGTCGCTTTGCAGATTATTTGAAAAGACAGGTATCCCCAGTACATCATATGCAATGACACTAACATATCCAGTGAGCATCTCTACGCACTAAGTAATGTTGATGGTAGCCATCTGTCAGGTTGACCTCATCAACAGGTTATCATTAGCTTGAGAAGTGAACGTAACACCATTCTCACTAAATTCTTTCCCAAATACAGACTGTCATTAAAGGGAACGTCATGAGGTTTCAATATATATACTGGATAACTGGCTGGTATACAAACTAAATCATGGTAGTCCCACTGCAGCGCTACGCAACACAGATTCTACCGTCGTTCAACAGAAGACTGTAGAAATAATTCTTATCATCTGTCTACAAAAAGAAGAGGATCTATTGGTCCGAATGAAATGGCTGCTTCCGACTCATAAATTTAACAGTATCTTAAGCAAAGAAGTATGCAGTGGTTTATCAAGCACTCTGCTCAGGTTTGTGTTATCCGTAGGCTTCACTCACCCATCCTATACAGTAGGGATGTTTGTTAGGTAGAAGAGATTTCTCGGGAACTTTATGAGATGCTGGGAAACAAGTTATAGTATTGGTGAGAGGCTAAGACAGCTTTCTTAATTAGTTCCACAGTCTTAAATCCTCTGGCAAACCGGACATGCTCCTTATGTTAAAATTGTATGTCATATGTTTCGTTTTTTCTCTATTTGGTGCAATCAGAGTGTCTTTCCAGTTTGGCAGTTGCAGCTGTTTAATCTTTCACCTATGTGATCTGGGAGTTTCTGTGTTTGTCGGTGAAATAGAGGATTTTTGTAGCTCAATGGCATCCGAAGATGAAGAGGAATAAGCTGTTCGTTTGCGGAGATGCTTCGGTACTCTTCTTATGAATACGCTAATACCACAGCTATTCTGCCTGTTCGTAAGACTCATCCACATATTCCGATTCATCCAGATGCTCAATGCCAGTGGATTTATTCTATTCTGGGTAACCCAATGCATTGACCAAGTGTGGATGACAACATAATAATATTCACGTTTCACAGGTCAGCTACATGCCTCAGCAAAAAGACTTTTGATACACAAAGAACAAATTTAAGACGTACTACTGATCGTTTTTGACATTCCTAGCTAGTGCGTTTTGGGACCGGGCCTCCGAATTTCATACTGCGAAAAGCCTTATTTATAGATTTTTTCCTGCATCATGACATCATTCACTCAGATCTGATTACGAACAATGTTTTTTGATGAAGCATGATAAACTCCTTATATATACATATATATATATATATATATATATATGGCTAAAGAGCTGACGTAAAATTTGTCTAAATGATATGCACCGAATTTTACATATTATTTATAATCTTAGCGAGATTTGGATTGTTGAAGTTGAAGTCATTATACTCATGGGATGAATCCTACAAGTATATCTGCATGTTTTGAACCTACGAAACTCACGCTGTTGCATGTTTATCAGAGTTTAGATATTTTTTTTCAAATTACTGGTATCGATCCAATTTATTTATTCCAGAGAAAACTGAAGTTGTACGCACACTCAGAATAGCGGCATGTTTCATAACCCAATGAAGTAGACATAGTTATTGTCTCCAATAGATGGACCTCAAACTTAAGAACTTATTGGCCAATTTTTTTTTCCAAAATAGCAGGCGCCACACACCTTTTGTCGAAGTACCAACAGAGTAGCCCTGAATAAATTTGATGGTGATTGTGAACAAGGAGTGTTAACAACCATGTGAGCAATGATCTCTTATTGAAAATTTGGACTAACCCATTACTGCAGAAATAGCTTAATTCTGAGCTACTCTAACCCAACCTGAGAGGAGTTTGACATTCGCAGGGCTGTAACAACTGTCAGTTCATCTAACAGAGGTGAGAGCAAGAGTGCTCATTCAATACTAAGAATAAGGCAACACGAAGTAAAATAATCCTTGGTGACAAACCATTAAACTTTTTCACTTATAAAACTTAGAAGAATAAAGCTGAGATGGATAGTCCTGGAAGTTAGATGAATTTCAAGCATCAAGGGAAAAGCCAAAACACAAGTGAAATGAAGATACAGTTGGTTTGTTCACAAAATAACCAGTTTTTAAAATCATTAATTCTATACGAAGAAAGGTTTTCGTTGTCATATTCCTAGTAACAGAAGTACATATTATAGCTCTAGATGTCCGTTTCACACAATAATCATGTCAACAAGTAAAATTTCCAATTCCTTATTGAATAATTTCAATAGTTAGATTCCTTGACGAACCAACATCAGTTACAGATCACCGGAAACCAGGGAGCAGTTGGCAGACGTTTCGTCCTATTTTGAGACTCTTTAATACTGCCCACTCACGACCCCACCAGGGATCAAACTCGAGGACTTCAGGTCACGAGACCAAGTTTGTTGACCCTTCAGTCATACTTGGGCTGGAATTAAATGATCAGCGAATCTTAACTTTGACAACTTGAGATCGAACGCTGCCATCAACCAATGTCTTCAATGGGGACGCACTTCGCCTTAAAACAATGGACCCTATTGGTTACCACTTCCTACTGTAGCTTCAGGTAATCTTTTTTATTTATTTTTTTAATTTTATTACAGCTTGATGCCACACCGTATTTTTAGGTACAGATATGGATTTTTCAGCATGGATATCGGTAGCCCAAATTTTGCAGGCCGACCATAGATATCGTGTGTGAGCCGGCAGGGAGTCGAACCCCGGACCATGTGCATGGTCGACGAGCATCTTAACCGCTATGCCACCGACGCACATCCATCTAGTAGCCACCAGTAGCTGGTGATTGATATTCAGATTATAGGATTTGTGGGGATTTTGGATTAATTTTAATTGTTAGATTTTCATTACGAACCAACATCAGTTAGACAGAGATCATTGGACAGAATATCCATAAAAACGAATTAAGTGAGAATCAACTTTGTAACTGTATTCAAATAAGGCACATTAACTTTATGACAACAATCCTTACATTAAAAAAAAATATGATTTTACAATACTGTTTGACAGCCAGACGTAGAATATTCCATTTACAGCATATTGAACAAAATATACACGAGCACCACAACAAAGTTATATCAAAAATTTAGACGTATAACTGATGTCCATAATAAAAAAAAGAAAATCAACAAGACTTGAGATTTTATGTACAGTTCTTTCCTCTTTGTTAAATGCATATGTTTGTATAAAACTAAGTGTACGAAATAGAAAAGTTCACTTTACAAAGCCACAACCACATTCCATATCACAATTTTGAGCGCGAACACATACCCGGTATATATATGTATATAATGTTAGAAACCTTCAGATCCTGAGGAATGTCCACGGTCAGTATTCACACAACGACGTTTATTTAAGCCATAAAGACTATTATTATTATTATCTTCAACACCATCACCAGCAGTTGATGTCGTGTTCTTTCGGCATGCATCTTTTTTAACAGACACTAATTTCGAAGGTGTACAGGTTTGATTCTGTTTTTTTGAAATTTCTTCATCTTCTTTAATAAGCGCTGTCAATTTCTCAATACAAGAAGTAGGTAATTTACGAAGATCAAAGGCTATCAATTTCGGTTTCTCGTGTATCACTTTTACAGCTCTATTATTGTTATTCACTGTACTGGAATTCGATTTATTTTTACGCTCCACAGAATCTGGTGACTTCAAAGAAATATAATACAGTAGAATTTCACTCATACGTATAGCTAGGTGTGGTTCACGTAGACGTATTAATCTATCGAATAGAACCTCTAAATTATGACTATTGACTTTTGTTGATTCTGAGGGGTTAGTTTGAATGTTAGTGCTGGATGAAAGGGTATTAGGATTCACATCCTTTGCTAATTTATTATTACTGCTTGTGGTAACAGTGGTAGCAGTGGTTGTTGACGATGTTGTCGTTGTTGTTGTTGTTGTACTGTTAGCGCCACTGGATGAATTCTTTTTGTTTGCACGATTCGAATCACCTTTTTCATGTACAACATTGGGTCCTAACTCACGTGCAGACGACTGAGATGTTACGGTTGAACCACGTTTGATTTCATTCGACTTTAATTGCTTAGCAGCATTTCGAGATTCTTCAATAGGTTTCATTTCACCCATCGTTATGAGATGACATGTATCATCAGATAGCATTGGTGGAGTAACAGAAGAGGAAGATGACGGTGAAGTTGCATTTGGTGAATCCGAAGACAAAGATGATAATTCTGCGTCCATGAAACTAGCATCGTATAGGGAAAAACTTCCTGCAATACTGTTATTACTTCTACTGGATTTGTTCGAAGTATTTATTCGACTTGATGATCCTTTAGAAGATCGCTCTTTTACTTCATTATTGGTTTGTTTATTAGTTTCAGTGGAACTTAAAACTTTAGAAGACGATTTATGAATACCTGAAGTTGGAATATTATTGGCTGAAAAATAGATTGATGCATACGAAGATAAGCAACAATTACAGTGTTAAAATTTACGACATTATACAATAAAAGGCAAAGAAAAAGATAGATAGATAGATAGATAGGTATATTCTAGTTTTCATCTTTTCCCGGTGATAATTACTGAATTATTGCCGCTTTTACATAGTCCTCACTAAATGGATAATTACACGAAATTCGTCATATGGTTTCATTCAAATAAGTTATGCCGAATAACTATTTACCACTTCCATTAGGCATAAAAATTTATTTTCATAAAGTCACAGCGTTGCATAGTAGTACTAAATGATGACGGTTCGAGCACAATTCATTGCTCATAATCATGTCAAGGTACACAACTTTTATCCATAATGAAATTTATACTCTACCACAGCCTACAAGTTCTTTTCTTATATTTACCACTTCAGTTGCCGAAATGAAAAGCATATATTTATATATATCACTAGAATTCTGTCATTAAATACATGGAAGCTTTTCACAATGAGACGCTAAAGCCCACATCAGTGTTTTTCCCATCTGTCATACATGAAACAAAGTAATTTTAAAAAATCTTAATTTACAAGTGAATTTGTCAAATTATTATTTTGTGATTTGAATAAATCTTTAGAGATGATTTTCTTTGACATATTCTACTGGGAAATTTTCGTAGACAACTCGCAATAGAAAATGCAGATTGATCAAAGACACAGGTTTTTGACAGATGTCGTTTTTCAGTGTAAATTTACACCACTAAATTCAACAAATTATGGGGGCAAAAATACACATGGAATTGAAGACAAACACAGGCTAACAATAACCAGCGTATTGACTTGACGGCTTCAACAATCACAGTGTGCAGTGTCTACGTATGTCACACAAAAAGAGTAGTGGAAATAAGATGCTCATAGAAAATCTTAATCTGCACTAAGACTACCTAGATATCCTTGTAAAGTCTTAATTATTACAAAAACAGTACACATACTTTTAACATACAACAAAACTTACACGTTTTATTATTATCATTAGACACTTTGGATAAATTTTCTGACTTTTCATTCTTTTTAGGTTTGTTAGGGTGTTTTGATTCTTTATCTTTACTGGGTACACGCGTTTTACTGTCTTGTGGTGAATTTTCACACTGTTTAGTTTGATTAACAGTTGCAGTCACTACTTTAGATGAAGGCTTATCGTGGGATTTCGATTTATTGACACTTGACTTTTTTGTATTCTGTACTTCTACAGAATCATCATTTGAATGATTCAATGATGATATGGGTTGACGACTATCTGATGAGCTAGAAGGATCTGACTTTTTTGGTGGCTTTGGAGGGACTGGAATGCTTGAATCATTCGGCTTATCGAAATCTACCTGTTTTGAAAAAAAATTTTATCAGGAAAAGATAATAACACAGTTAATTACTCATTGATAAGTGTTACATGCGAAACAAATCATTTTTCTATTTCTTTTTAGATTTGACTGAATTGTGTACATACATTCTCACTCAACAAAACACCTAAGGGCAACAGAATTCTTTACATTTTTTCACCGATTTATGGTAAATACAGTAGACTGCTGTAAAAACACTAACTGCATGTATCTAGGGGCTGATTAAGCCCAGGTTCGGATTAGTTTACAACAGACAATGAGATGCCAGTGCATTGACTGATATTATTACTCAAATAAAGTAATCGTGCTCACTAATTAAATCAAAGCGATTAGCACACTGAACGACAACTTCGCACACTTGAGAGTAAGCTAGTCAACAGAAAGAACAAAGTAATCAGACAGATTTTTTAACAAAAGTATGAAAATTGGGCACTGTGGTAGACATATTAGATAACACCTGTAGCTATAAATACACTTTCTTTGATATGCCTATACTGTTGAGAACATAAAACAAAGAAAATCAAAGAGCATAGAAGGTATAATTACATTACCACGACCCAATATCCCAATGAAAACCTTCACACTTGTAAATAATTTAATAAATCAATAATGAGCAAACAAAAAGCAAAAAGATTAATAACTGACGACAGCATGAAGAGTACTTGACACCTTGAAGTCGATTAAGATTTTTTTTCAGAAATCAGTTATCCAGAATACAGCACATAAGTCATATCTATTATGTGTGTGGAGGGGGGAGGGGGAGGGGAAATGGTCACTCTAACTTCGATTGGTAGAAGAGGATTCGAACCCAAAATCCACTAAATGTAACTAGTATTGCAGCCCATGTGTCACATTTTCATTAGATTTCGGAAAAATTTACAATTTAATCACTAGTTCAATTCTAACATGCTCCATTTTTACAGACAAAAAAAACTGTAGAAATATACACTTAGTCCTGTTGCATAAACTGCGACAGTGGACAAGTTACTGGTGACATACTTAGTCCAGCACTGAGTATTTTTAGTATCTAAACTATCTTAATGGAGGATAAAAAGGTTGTGGAATCACAGAAGTGGGAAATAGGCAAGGGACGTAAAATTTCGTAGGCTACCGACATAGATATGAAATATTCTATTAGGCAGAACTTTATATGAGAATCTTCTTCGAGATAATGCTATCTATAAACAGTTATTATTCGTATAATCAACTGGATATTGATGAGAACAACTATTTATGCGAACTTACTTCTAAGAGGGGTTCTGTCTTCATGAGGTTAGTTAACCCTATCATCTGAATTTTGAACATTGGTAAAAACCGTGTGTTCTGAGTAACCAACGGGCTTATTTATGAATGATCATCTATAACAACTTTGTTAGATAGTTCAGTTAAGGGTTAGCTGTGGTACTTTCATCAACACAGTACTAAAAGCCTTGCTGTTTCCTTATTTTTCTTCTGGAGATAGTCATGAGATTTTCTTTATACAATTGATTGACTTCGTTGTTTATAAATGTGTATGTTAATCAGTCACCAAAATAAACATTCACCTTTGAATTAGTAATTCGAAGACAATTATTTTATAATATATCCGCGTACATTTTTCATGACTCTATTATGTTCTGATCATTGATACACAGTCGTGGCAACTTATTTTGTAGACTGCGAAAAACACTAGATTGGCCAAAGTAGACGTCGTCTTAGTATTCGAATCCATGAACATAAACTAGTCGTCAAAAGGCATGACATCCACTCCCTCATATCGCTGCATACAGACAACCACGGACATCAATTCAACTGGGACAACGTTCAAATATTAGACAGAGGAAACACCAAGAATGCTAGAGAATTTTTAGAAGCCTGGTATTCCAGTGAATCGTCAATCAATAGACACATCGAGATAGACAAAATTTACCAACCGATAGGAAGGAAATCTCACACACAAAGGGTCACACTTCAGGTCAAGGAAGCAATTAACACCAATACCAATACAAGTAGCCCAGAGGGTGTGAAAACACACAAAAACAACCAATCACGTCCAAGGTTATCGCCAGGAGAGATGACTAATAAACTCGTGGAGAAATCTAAAAAGCTCACTTCAAATTGAAGTATGCGCTGAAGATGTTGTCTAGTAGGGCAATGAAAGCTTCGCAAATAGACCATCCAGGTCAGAGAACACAACTACATCAAAATTATCTACATAAAGCAGGTGTAATTTAGATTCACTTAACTGAAAGACAAGGACTTATTTCTACTTCATGAAAATCATTTGAGTGAGAGAAAAAACAACTTACAGTTGAATGAGATGACAGTTTATTGGAGACGTTTGAAGAAATCTTATGCTTTGAATTCTTTGATTGTTTAACTTTAGGTTTTTCCTCATTCAACTGTTTACTTTGACTTAATGATGATTGTGATTCATTCACTTCCACTCCAATACGCTTTCTACACTCTTGATCTGTAGATTTAGTTTGTAATGTATCGTTAGAATGCTTATTTAACTCTTCATATGTAGGGTAGGCTTTCGACGGTGGTGTGAAATCATCAAAATCTTCTTCATATAATTCACTACTTGTAGCTATAACTGAATGTGTTAACTGATCGTCTGGATCATACTGTCGGCTACTGCCACCATCGCTAGCAGCTGAATGAACAGGATTCTGATTGCTGATAACAGATGATTCATCACCGTACTTGAAATTTTTAACATTTGATGAAGAAGGTAGAGCCGGTGGTGGAAATGAACGGTTAACTGAATTCGACTGTACTTTCCTTTGTTGTTGTAGTTCATCACCAAAATAATCGACCGCCGGCGTTACTCTTCTCGAGTCATTCGGAAAACAATCACTGTGATAATCATTATCTTTTTGATCCATTAGAAGTAAATGAGAATGTGTTGATTGACTAAATGAACCACATAGAGAATCGACATCAGATGTTGTAAATGCATCGTGTACATCCTGCTGCAATTCATTGGCTACTGAATAATGCTTTTGATGTAATCGCCGATGTTTTTTACTCTTCTGACGTGAACGCTTCTTTTTGTCTTCTGATTCAGTGTGTTTTAAGGTGTCTTCCTTTTCACTTTCACTTTGAAATATTATCGCATTATTATGGATGCCATTTTCATTTTCAGAGCATGGTTCTGAACTTTTATTCCCTGACTTACGAGAATTGAACATCATTTCAGAACCGGAATGATCTGAACGCGTACCATGTGATGATTGTTTCTGAGGTGAATGACGTCTTTTAGGCGATGATATCTCTGGTGTGAAATTTTGTGTTGACATCTTGCTTCCCAAATCATTACCTGCAACGTTCTTATCTGAAGCAACACCACTCGCAGTAGCCCGTGGTGTTGTAGCATCATCACCAAATAGGTGTTTCGATGGTGAACTCTGCGGTAAAGATTGTAGAAATTGAAAACATATATATAGAAGTGGAGGCGCTTTAAAGAGTTCACACTCTCGAATTCTATCACTACTTAGAAATACAAACAGGGTAGATCAGCATGATTAGCTGAAGCGTCTTTTATGCTAAGCTCCAAATACAGACAAAGTTTACCGGTGAAGTTATTGGAAATAATTTTCGCACGACAGACTGATATTCTATGTTACTGAGCATAAGCCGAAATTGATTTTAAGTAGCGACTTCCTTAATAGGCTACTATTCTTTACTTTCAAACTCCATCAAATAAAAAATCAACTTTGAACCACTATACTTCGTCATTACATGCTGCTGCTGCTGCTGGATTCAACATAGAACTTGGCACCGAAGTGCACCAGTTCGAGTTGCCACGTTCCAAATAGCACACAAAGGTAGACAGGAAAATGAGAGAAGAGAATCAATAGAATTTAGATAAGTAAGAGTGAAACAGAATGAGTAATGGTAGAAAGGAATATGAAGGTTAAAGAGACTGAATACATCTGCGCCATTGACAACGATTTTGAGCCATGTCACCTAGTGTCTCCAGCCATTGATTCTTAGAGTCCCGAGGGCCCCAACCCGGAAGTCTGCATCTCCCTACCTGACTCAGTTTAACTGTCAGGGATTTCATGGATTGATGCCATGTTTTTGTTTGGCCACCACTTACTCTTTTCCAACCTGCACCTATATCAGCTAGTAATGCCCGTCGGGGGAGACGATGGTTAGGCATGCGCAGCACGTGGCCTAACCATCTCAATCTATGTAACTTCATAGCCTCTTCGAGTGATTTTCCCTCTTTGCCCAACACTCTACGCCTAACGTCAACATTACTTACCTTATTATACCACCTAACGCGAGAAAGAGATCGTAAACATCTGTGGTCAAAAACAGACAATCTCTTCATGTCTTCCGCTCTCAATGGCCACGTCTCACCGCCATAGAGAAGGACGGGGCGAACTGATGAGCAGTACACACGTCCCTTGGTTGACAGCCGGATGTCACGCCTACGCCAGAGACGGTGTAAGTTAGCGAAAGCAGCCCTAGCTTTCTGGATCCGTGCTGTGATTTCGTCACCAATCAATCCGTTGGTGCTGATACAACTTCCCAAATAGGTGAAGTGGTCAACATGTTCTATCACTTCACTCCCTATCACTAAGCTAGGAGTTGACGTAGTCCAGTCCTGTAGCAGCATCTTACATTTCACAGGGGCGAATCGCATGCCAAACATACGAAGATTGCTGCTCAAGGTGTTCAGAAGACTCTGCATTTTGTCAGCGTCTTCCCCTAACAGGACTATGTCGTCTGCGTATTCTAAGTCTATAAGACTATTCCCTGGTAACAAGTCGATTCCTGAGTCGTTAAGTTCATTAAGTCTATTTGTGTTTTAAGTCTATTTGTGTCCAGCGTTGGTTTGATGATGGAGGTCGTCAGGTCAAACAGTGTCTCTGCTTGTGTTTGAAGTTAGTGCTTACAAGAAACAAGTGATTATCTGAACAAAACTGTAGGAGACGGTCACCGTATGTGCCACCGACATTCTTCTCAGATTGACACAATTTCCCCACTTGAGCATTAAAGTCACCAGCTAAAACGACTATATCTGAGCGTTTAGCCTTTCGCAGCAAACTAGACAGCTTTTGGTAGAACTCATCCTTTGTTTCATCCGAACTGCAGTCAGTGGGGGCGTAGGCGGAGATTACGAAAAGGCATCGGCGAGTAGTGCAGTCCTTTCTCCTTTTCACTGATCCGTTCAGACGGACAGCACACATTCGGCTATCTACCGGGATCCAGTCAAGTAATGTCTTTTCTGCTCTAGTACTCAAAGCTATCCCAACACCAGCTAATCCTCGTGAGCTAGCCGTCTCATCTCCTGACACCCTCAAGGTGAATTTCGCAGATTCATCCTGTTGGCCAGGTGGGGTTAGGTGAATAACCACACTTGGGTCTTGTGTGCGTGTTTCTGAAACACAACATACATCAATGGCTCGGGATGCCAGAGTCTTGGCTAGTGATACCTGTTGTCCTATTTGGCAAAGTGTCCTAACATTAAATGCTCCTATATGAAATTGGTGACGTGGCTTTAGGAGACTATCGATGGTGGTTTTTTGGCTTCCGTCGTTTTCAGTGCACACAGAGTGAAGAGGAAGTGAAGAGCCATTAAGTAGAGGAGTTGCATAAGTAGAAGGAAGGTAAGATAATAGAGATGAAGATGAAGACAAAGGTGAGTGAGGATTAGAGAGGTTTCGCGTGCACTTCGGATTGTGAGGGCGATTGTTACTTCCCGGCTGCCCACACCGTGGAAGTTGGTTGCGTGACCGCAGAGCCCAGGGGACAACTGCTTTAGGCCGGTCACACACGGCCTGTTTTTGTTTGTTGTTTTTTATTTGGTGTGTCTCAGTAGCGTATTTATCACTTCTGCCCTGTGACACGGCAGCAGAAAGCGCGGTCGTTGTTAATCCGGGCCCCGACCGATCCGGCATGATATTTTGTGATTTATTTGAAGTCATAGGATTGGATTGGGTAACTGCTTTTAGTCTAACCGCTATCCAAACAACCTTCCTGGCATGGTAGGACCTGCAGGAACATAAGTTCCAGCCAGTATAGCTTGTTGGGTCATTGCAGTGTTCAAGCCCGACCACCACGTCAAGGTAGCAGCTTTCGGTCGGGCGTCATTACATGAGGATCCTCAGTAGCCTGCTTAGCCAGTTTACCAGGCAACAACAAAAGAACAGTTTTCTGAAACTTGAGGCTTGAAATTGGTGACATTTCCTTGTAGTGAGAAAGTCGGTTAAACTCATTTTTAAAACACAAATGACTAAATATTAATGCAGTCAAGACTAAAGCTGAATGAATGATTATTGTGCAAGGTGATAACGCATGACTGAACCTGAGAACTACACTTCAGTAGATATTGTAACCCAACTAATCAGACTTTAAAGATAATTAAAAGTGAGATATAATGATTGCTAAAGAGGCAAGTATTGAAGTGAACTTAAAATAAACTTTTAAAATGAAAATTAAAAATTCAAATACAGCTGTTCAGAAAAATCCCAAAGAGCCTAAGGACTCTAAGAGGACGAGAGGCAAAGTGGAGGAGTAGAATGATAGAGTTCTGATTACAGAGGATGCATGATAGTTCTTGATACAACGGATATATTTTTTTAATGATGGCAAAAGTTTGAACGGCACAACGCAACCATTTATTTTCCTTTCACTCTATAACAAGTGAAATAAGGCTACTATAAGGCCTTGTTAAACTCTAGTTTTAGATAAAATACTACTTAAAAAGGTGACATTTGCATTTGTAAACAGGTCCTATAGGTCCATTATAGATAAGATTTTATTTTGATAAATCGCACAGTGTTATACAGTAATATTAACTGATGACCATGTTTCGAGCAAAAACTATTGCTCATAATCATATCAAGTCACTTACACAACTTTCTTGCTTCATTTATATACATGAGTGGAACTGATTAGACATTTGAATAAAAATCAATATAACATAAGGTACATTCAGAAATAATTATATGAGTGTTACTGATCAATGAATGAATGAAGGCCTTACGTAGGATTCTCAATAAAGCAGGAATTAGGGTGGCATTCAAAGCTACAAACTCACTCAGAGACAAGCTCTGTAGGCTAAAAAGACCCGGTGGACCCAATTAAACAAAGTAATATAATTTACAAAATACCTTGCAATGACTGTGAGTTAGGTCAACTACATAGGTCAAACTAGTATATCAGGAGTAGCGAGATTATCAGAACACAAGAAGTTAGCTAAGGTTAGAATGACTGATACCACGGAGATAAATAATTTAGAAAAAGAAACTCATGCATGCATTAAAACACAACCACACAATGTGGTGGGTGGGATAGAGTCAAAATTCTAAAAAGTAATCTATATAGGTGGAGAGAGAGATTGATTAATGAATCCTAGTTCATCGAGTTTACTCCCAACACATGCAACAGAAATGACTCAACTCAAATACCAGAGATACGGAGGATATTATTACCACCAGTCATCAGAGGAGGATATTAAATAATGTTAAAATGTATTCAATTCACATTATAACATTCTAAAAAGTTACTTATTTTCACTATAAAAATATCTTATGTCCGATCTGACTGTATTTTATTGATAACGCTTATATTATCATTTCTGAATGTACTTTATCTTATATTGATTTTTATTTAAATGTCTAATCAGTTCCACTCATGTATATAAATGAAGAAAAAAGTTGTGTGAGAGTGACTTGATATGATTATGAGCAATAGTTTGTGCTCGAAACGTCATCAGTTAATATTACTGTACAACACTGTGTGACTTATCAGAGTAAAATCTTATCCATAATGGAGTTATACTCTACCACAGTTTCATACTTATATCAATAAGTCCTATAGGTATTACTGGTGACTCAAACAACCTAGTGATAGAATTTGGATCTCAGAAGGAATACAAGTACCCCGAAGACTATAGACGACCTTACTGATGTGTGCTAACAAGTATGAAGCCTAGATGAAGAAAATTCTACCAATTCACTTTCAGTGTCTCATAAATAAAAAAGATTAAGTAACTAGGTCAATTTGTAAACAAATGAATTATACAAAAGTATGTTTACCTTTGAACTTTTGTTACGACGTTCTTTCTTGGCTTCCTTTTTATGTTTTTTTCTTTCCAACTTTTCATTAGTAATTTCGTCATCAAGTGGATGTGATGATGAAACTGAGAGTTGACTTCCACAACTTGATCTGGATAATTTTAAGACAATACGTTGTTTTGGAGCAGAATTATCTTGTTGATTAGAATCGATTACATAAGTCATCTTAGTTGGATCGGACTTGGATGGATTTCCTACAGGTACTTCATTGTTCGTTTTTTCACAACGCTGTACAACAGGAGATTTTCGACTTTCGTAGGAATGGCGGTGCTCTTCAACATCATCATCGTCATCATCACTGTGTTCATTTAGGCTAGATCTTGATCGACTTAAACGTGAAGACCATGTAGACGGATCAGGCGAAAGCGGATGACTTCCTTCAGGGCTATTTATATTTGTAGTTGTGGGTGGTTGGATGGGAGGTGGTGGTGGTGAAATTACCGGTGCCCAATTTTGACTTTGTTGTGCTTTCTCCAATAATAATTGGGCTTCATGTAATAGTTGTAATTTCTTTTTATGCTTCTGTGGTAGGGGTTGATTTGTCTGTAAACGATCAGAAGAGGATGATGATGAAGATACCTGCAAACTTTGATTATTATCTGAGTCCAAGAGAAAGTTATGATCTTCATGTGATTTTTTGACTAATTCATTACGCATGGCCTGATAATTCAAACCATAATCGAATGCTTTCGCATTTGTTCCAGACTCTTTCATTTTCACTTTACTTGTTGAAGCAGTTGATTTATCCTATTAAGATATAAAAGAATTTGAAAAACAACAGAATGTATAAAGCACGATATTTCTGAAGATACTAAGTTAGCAAATATTGAACGGCAAAAATATGATAACAGGTTGTAGATTATGTGATCTTAAGGCCTAAAACATGACCACTGAACGCAGGATACTTGAAATAATAGCATTCATCATTTGTGATAAAAAATCATCAGTGAAATGACAAGGAAGACAGATACCCGTTGAGGTGCGCACTTCAGACAAAAGTGAATTTAAACGAACAAGTTACCACTTAATCAATTACCTACCATTATAGGAAACACAAAATATGAATAGAAAGCGATACATTAGACTAGATAGTAAAATATGAAAAACCGAACTGTGCTGAATTCGAAAAGATCTGTAGCTAACTTTGTCGGTTTATATTCTACCCACCCCCATGTCTCATTGATGAAGTAATCCGCTGATAACCTCCTCCTCTTCTGATGTAGGATAACATAATCTGCTTGTTGAGATAAGGTACTGCATAGTTCTTTTTACTGTCTATAAACACTTTTTGATGAAGTCGCGAGGACAATCATGCATTTTAAACATCTTAGTAGGTAGTCTTTGTGGCGCTGCACACTACAAAATCCACCATACAAGATGAAAAATAAATGCAGTTCAAAAAACCGACTGTAAAAACTGTGTACAACACTACCTTGCCCACACTAGTTTTATGTCACCTACAGGATTCACAAACACCAACTGTCAGTAACGAAGACACAAGGCTTATACCTTGATTTTAATGCATGAACAAAGCTGTTAAATACAACTTCAACTGGGGAAAATCGTGTTATCTTACAGAATGCATACTCGCAGGCAACAAAAGAATCTCTAGGAGCATGAAACTGCGATCAGCAGATATGATTATGAGAAATAATTTGTGCTCAAAACGTTATTCAGTCACGAATACTGTATCATTGTGTGTTATATATTATTATTATTGTTCCCTTGGGTTCCTAGTGGAAAATAGGGCTTCAACTACACGTCTCCACTTGTTTCTGTCTTCTGCTGTACTTTTCACTTGCATCCATGTTAGTCCATACTGTTTCAACTCCTCTTCACACGATCTCCTCCATGTCACCCTTGGACGTCCCACTCGCCGCTTCCCTTTCGGGTTCCACTCGAGCTATGGCCTGACGCGCGATGTCACCCAGCAGCCTCCTCAGCGAGTGTCCAATCCATCTCCATTTTCTCCTGCATATTTGTTGAGCGATTGGTTCTTGTTTTGTTTGTTCCCATAGTTTCTTGTTGGTGATTCTTTCCGGCCATCTGATCTTCAGTATAGAGTGAAGACAGTTGTTGATAAAGGTCTGCAACAGGCTGTTGGAAATATTCTTGGTGACCCGCCAAGTTTCTGATCCGTATAGCAAAACTGACTTGACGTTTGTATTGAAAATCCGAATTTTGTTGTTGATGCTGAGTGACGAAGATTTCCAGATTGGTTTCAGGTTGATGAATGTGTTTCTCACCTTCCCGATTCTCAATTTGACATCTTCGTCCGTTCCTCCTGTAGTTGAGACAATGCTCCCTAGATAAGTGAATGAAGTAACCTCTTTCAAATCCCTCCCGTTGATGGTGATTGGCGCTGGATGTTGCTGTTGTTGTTGTTGGTTGGTTGGTTGTTTTCATAACCTCCGTCTTGTCTATGTTCACCTGGAGTCCTGTCTTCTCTGGCTGCTTCTTCGACCAGTTTGTCGGTTTTCGCTTGTAGGTCTTCGATTTTGTGTGACATCAAACATAAATCATCCACACGCGAAATCCAGGTCTTCTAGGTTCTTCACGTCGGTCCAGGATATCCCTGTCTTCTCGTTTCCCACTGTTTGACACATAATCCAGTCCACCACAATTAGGAATATCACTGGTGATAATAAGCACCCTTGTCTGACTCCTGTGTTTACTCCGAACGCCTCGCTGAGTTTTCCGTTGTGGATCACTTGACATGTGCCGTTGTCGTACAGCTGTTGAATAAGGTTGATGAATATTTGGGGTACGCCGTAGTACTCGAGTAGTTTCCAAATTATTTCGCGGTCAACGCTGTCGAAGGCCTTTTCAAAGTCTATAAAGTTGAGGTAGAGGTTTGATTGCCATTCCATGCTTTGTTCGATGATGATGCGTAGAGTTACAATTTGGTCAGAACATGATAAACTTATCTAACATGAAATTACATTCTACCGCAGTGTCCAGGTTCTACACTTATATTAGTGTTGACGCGAACCCAATTTAAAGTCTGTTTCAGAAAAAGAACAATCACCTCACAATTAATCAACCCAGAGGATAAATAATGACATGATATGAAATAAATAGCAGGGAGTTGCGCTACGTATGACGAATATTTTCAAACATGACTAATAAATCCATTAGTCAAGATTATACACCACACAGCCAAGAAAACTGTCAAGCTTACAGACGTTTACCAAACAATAACACTTATAACGGAAATACATAGGAGCGGTAATAAAATTATGCAGCTAAAAAGAACCAGTAAAAATAAATGCAACCAGAAACACAAGACATTTACCTTGTGAACTGATTTTGTATTCGGTTGCAATTCTGGATAGAATGAAAATGAATGAAGTGACTCCAAATCAGAATATGACTGAATGGCCTGAACAATTTCATGAACGGTACATTGATTTGATGTTCGTGGTATAGCAATCTATTTTGTAAAATGTTACAACGGAACTGAAGAAATATATACACATATATATATCATTGGATAAATTTAGCAAACAAAATCGAAGCCTATCCAGTTTGCCTAGGCGACTGACCAGAGTAGATAAAAAATATGAAAACAAAATCATAGAGATAAAAGTATGATTATCAATACTGGTATTGATTGGAATAAATAATTCTTTTTCTACATGAATCTGTACACGTAAACCATACAGAATGTGAACTTCTTTAAAATGTTTAATACAAATAAAGTTCTATAAGAGAAGTGAAATACATCGCATAAAAAACAACCTAATTGATAGGTATACTATTGAATTGCATTCAATATAAACTATTCATTGTTTACACAGACCATTTATTGAGTAAGCAAGTAACGACAATGTAGTAGCTCTTAAAAATCAGTAAACTAAATTTGTACAACATATCAAATAAAGAACTATAAACTAGTTAATAATAATAATAATGAAAACAATATGCTTCTTTTACAAATGTGTTGTCAATAGAGAACATGGCATAAATGACTGAAAGAGTTTTCAACAGCAGTAGTTCACGTTTCCACACTTAATACAAGAAGAGATACATGCACAGGAACTGTACATATAATGAGAATATAATACATCTGAAAGTTTATAACCAGCCAATATGCATCTGCATTTGGACCACTCAGAAGGATATCATACGCCTCTGTGTACACTAATTAAGCGCAATTCACATCACATGTGAATTAAAAAGTCATCGGTCGATGCAACTAACACTCTTCATAACTTCTCTTTAAAGCTCTACAGTTAAATATTTCACAAGGGTCATGCAAAATCCCAATAAAGTCCAAACCTTGATATCAGTCAATGGCAAAATATATATATTCAACCCAGTATCAATAAAGCGAAATAGAAAATTGATTAAGTAAACCTTTTTAATATAAAATGATAAATACGGTTCAGAAACTGTTAATAAAGAATAGGAGATTCGAAGCAGGAACATCATTCCCAAGATTTTAACTATATATATAATATTTTATAGAAACCTTTAGCAAGGAAGGCGAAAACAAACTAATTACATACAAAATCATCACACAACAAATCGGAAAGAAAGGATCTACTTTCAAGGCCACAGTAGCAACAGAAATTCAACAAAACGACTCTGGAAATAGAACAACATCACCCCTATGATAATATGCCAAGGGTTTCCGTTGTACAAAAATATAAATAGAATTCCTTCGAGGTACCTTACATACCACACTGAAAGACCTGTCAATTTATCCAACATGACCAGAACAACATTATACTTGACTGGGATATTGGTTGGTACGCGCTCTCATCCACTTCAATGGTCGGTTGTCATTCAATTAGACTGAATATTATGTGGTAGCACAACGGAATTTCCTGCATACTGAAAATGTTACGGCTTAATCGATGAGGCACGACTGAACCCTCAATATAAATCACCAATATAAGTGCAAATATACACTCAGTCTATTTGATTCTGTGCAAGCCATATGTAAGCCCATTTAGCACGTCAGTGTAGGAGGTATCGGTCGGGGGTACACATGGCCTTGATATAAGTATAAAACTTGGGCACTGTGGTAGAGTATAACTTCATTATGGATAAGATTTTATTTTGATAAATCACACAGTGTTGTACAGTAATATTAACTGATGACGTTTCGAGCACAAACTATTGCTCATAATCATATCAAGTCACACGACTCTCTCAAACAGAAGCAAGATTCACTGACCATCGGATTTTTAACAGTCGATGTTTAAAAAATCATATAATTCCAAAATATTTACGCATACAACTTGATATGATTATGAGCAATAGTTTAAGCTCGAAACGTCATCAGTTAATAGTATACATGGCCTCTTTGTAATAATCGCATCCCAACACTTTGCCCATAAATGTACACAGTAAACCAACTTAGACTCAACAGATGATGTACAGATTAAGTGTTCATGTTTACTGAATAGCAGAAATAGAAGAGTTTATTAGAAAGATGATTGTCAATGATGACCTTTGGCGGATACTGAAGAGTAGAGGTAACTGAAAGTGATGTAACCGTATTCTAAGTGCACTGTACTTGCCCACCTATTGAATTTCACGCGGCTTTAAGTAGGTATGGGACAATCTATCAACGTAGTATACGTACATCGAAAGAGCTCATAAACATGTACCTATTGGCATAATTGATTTATTGCATAACGAATTTCCAAACAGAAGGACAGTAGTAATGTGGAAGCTCACAACTTTGCGTAGTAATCAAAGTAAAAGATGAAATGGTAAAAAGATAAGGCGTTGCGAAATAAAAAGCAAGACAATGCAGATAAAAATAAGATATTCAAACCTAGGAGGTGAGGAATGAATGAATTTACATTGCAGAGATAAGTTATGAGCCACATAACATATATATATATATATATACTTGGATAAACATTCTAGGTAATAATATGAACTTACTCCGCCTAGTTGAATGAGCCTGTCCCAATCTTCAGGTGCTGGGTCCATCTGAACTGTTCGATAGGTATGCAAAGCGTTTTGATCAAAAAGTGTGAGATCGTAATAAAATGTAGTGACACAGTCAAGGAAAGCGACTTCAACTTGCAACTGGAATGTTCCAAAACCATCCTCTTCGATAGCGAACGGAGCCTGTCGTACAACTAAAAATAAACACAATATTAATACAGTCAAGTTTATAACTTTATAATTAAGAATAGATTGACTTGCTTATGAATAAACGTCTAGTTGAAAAAATTTCCCCACAGAATATTCCATAAGAGATTAAGACCAGACTGGATCCTCAACGTTCTAATAACACTTCTATTACAGTGTTCAACAAAGTGAGCATTATTTGCGCGAGATCTGAGTGGAAATGATTGTAAGTTTTGCTAACGTAATCATTTAGAAGCTAAAGTCTAATTAGTCAGTCTAACAGTCACGCTGCTAACTTCTCTAAAAAAAAACATACTACGTTGCAATCCATTCAAGTGGATAATATGCAGATGATTAAGTCAGAGAACCGCGAACGAAGGACAAAAGTACAGATATATGAAACTGAATTATCTGCTATATAATCAACTAATCATATAATTCAATATGCTAAAAGAAACTGACAGCCAGTGTACACATGAGTTTTAGGTAGCACATTTTTGGTTATCACGATGACGAATACGAAGCCATTAAAAGCACAGTCACTTTTCATTGCAGGCGTTGATTGTTTTTTTAGTCTTACAGTAAAACAGTGAAACGTCAGTACAAGTTATCACGCGAATCTAACATATGTAGACTAGAGACATGACTGTGTTCTTCTAAACGAAATTAGTATTGAGGTTACACATTTTTGAAAGTTGAGATATCAGTATCTCAGATTCACAAAGACGAAAATCGATGTGAGAAAAGGGAGATATATACTGCAGAAATATATTTTCCCCGAAAAGTATGTTAGCCACACATTTTAAATACGAAGCATAGGTAAACCGAATTCAGAATAATGATGACTCACTTCACACCTAAATCTTTGATCGAAAGCATAACAACAGTTTGAAACAAATCATATCAGTTTCATAACTATTGCAAAGCTCAAAGTAACTGCAATGACTTTCGAATCAGTAAATGCAGAAACTATAACTTCCCTGATGTAATTAATGATAAGTATTCTGACGTTCATATTTTCCAGTGAATAAAAACGTAAAACCTTCCCTTTTAATGACTGAGAAATAAAGACAACTAAAACGCCCAATTTTTAGTAAGATTAGGTCTAAACTTAATTTTTAAATACACCGATCCTCGTTTTCTGACGACAACCACCAATCTGTGGGTTAGTGATACGTGTAGCTTGTTTTTGACTTCATAGACAATGCGATAAATAATGAATATAATAGTCGAGTGGGCATATTTATCATAGGATTGCAACAGGAAGAAATCTTATTCGGTTGTAACAAACTTCATTTCGACCATTTTTGTAGGTTAGATATTACAGTATAATTATTAAGATATCAGCTTAAACATTTCAAAAATTCCAACTTTCTAGTCAATATCTAGAGGAACTTAGTGAATTCAAGCAATGCATATGGAAAACAACATCAAATGGACACCTTGTCTTGGATTTTCAAATGTATTGTGGAGTTTGAACGTAATTTTCTTTACAAATGCTGACAATGGATAGCGAGGATTCCAACTATCCACATAACATCTCCAGTGATGTGTTCGACCATTCACAGGTTTTGGCTTTCTATATACCGAGTGGCCAACTTTAAAAACAAATAAGATCTGGAAAACAATGTATTGAAGAAAACCTGATGATAAAAAATAAATACAAGAAATCCAAATTTACGCAATTTCTAAGCAAGAAAAGAAACATGAATTGAATATCAATAAAATCTGTGTCTAACACATTGTCTTTAAAAATAAACTACTTCAAATTAATTAAATATCGGCGAAAAACAGATGAGAGTAATATTTTAATTAGTAAAAAAGGGACGCAGTGAAAATGGAAGCCAGCTGAAATAAAAATATCCACACGGTACTTATCTGTCACGATCAGTGCAAATTAAAAAATCCAAACAACAAGATGTACATGAAATCTTTAGGTGTAACTGTTCCTTATCATACTTTATAAAATAACCTTAAAATAAAGAATGCATTAATATTGTAATGATATAATAATTGATGAAGTGCTAACTTGACATAGTCATCAGGAATTTCATATCATAAAGGCTAAACGAGCTTTGGTGTCCGAATTCGCTATCCCTGAAGTTCTTACCAGTCCTTAAAGTTCGGTTAAAGAGATTAACAGCTTAACGTAGATTATGACCATTTGAAATAAATCGAATCACAGCTACGTTACTTTTCTGTTCGAATGAGGAATGCTTGGAAAAAATGGTTCAAAAAAGCTGCATTTCAGGACTTACGGTGGAGCGACCTGTAGCCGCTGGGTAAACTTTTGTACTGACGAAACTCCACAACACCCATTACGACACAAAATGAAAGCGTGAGGCCTCTAGCAATTATCCTCTGGACTAAGGTATCAGAATTTGTGATAAGGGGATTTTAGTAGCACAATCAATATAATTAACAATGGCCTATTGTATTCACTCCTTATCAACATTTCAGATTTCGAATATCACTACTTTTTATTAAAGTATTCGACCTCGTATACCCGGTAGAAGCAGCAACTGCATCTCATAGTTATAAGTTGTATCAGCTCACTGACATAAAAAAAAACATGGTGTCAGGGAGACGGTCTGTGAGGCGGATGATATGCTGAAGAGCCTGAAAAAACTCAGTGCTCTGGACAAAGCGCTTAGGAAAACAGGCGCTCAAAAACAGTGTTCAATACTTGTAATTACGGGACATAATGACTGGTTAACTCTGACCCACCCAACGGAGCAGACGTCCAGAAGGAACTCTGAGCACTTAGGCTTCATAAAGCATTTAACCTAAACAACGTATGTCCCGGCCCTTTCTAAAGGTGTAAAGAGACTACAGGCAAGGAACAAACTAAATATTTTGAGAAGGTAAGGGAGGTTGCATCTTATTAGTATGAAAAGAGGCTATCAGTCACAGTGTCCACCTTCACAAATGGCCTACATAATGCATGCGGTACTCATTGAGGTAAAACTGTGTTAATCATTGAGTCAAAAATGGTAGTTGTCATGCTTTGCAGACTTCATAAAACATGAAAAAATTAATTCATGAAGAGCAGGTTGGATTTCGTCCAGATTCTGGACGTATCAAGCAAGTAATCACCCTTCCTCATTTTAGCTCACGTATTACATGTATTTCTTGATACTAGAGCATGTTCCTGAAAAGTTTATTATCATCCCGAAGGCCCTGCATCAAAACACCACAGGAAAGGCGAGGACACTACTGGGGAGTTGTCCTATTCCACTGCTTTTCTTTAACTTTGCCATCGATCTCATTCTGAAGATATGGTGCTGTGTGATAAAGGATATTTTCGTTAGCATACGTTGATCACGCATCACGGAGCTTTAACAAGAATATACTTATCGTCACACATATACGCTTGCTTTCTCAGAAGAACATAAAGACAATTCACCTTTAATTGATCTACAAGCCTTAACTATAACTATTCATACAAAAAGACATCAGTGATTTAATGATCCAATTGACTGACTGAATTTCAACACTAAACTGCAGAGAAGTGCAACAGTTCAAATTGCCATTCTCCATCTAGCACACAAAGGTAGACGAAAGAGAGTTCAAAGCAACTATTATAAACAAAAAATCCAGGGAAAGAATAGTAGCATGGAAAAACATGACGGTTTAGTGGCTATGGGAGATAACACAAAGTGAATGCATATGCGCTATTGCCAACGATTTTGAGCCAAATCACCAATAGTTTCGCACCATTTATGCTTAGCATTCCTTCCTTAAACCATGAAGCAAATCAGCTTTGAAAAAAAATAATGTGCTTTCTAAGATCCAAGTGTACTCTAATAGCTTGCTACTACAATATCAGTAGCTCATCACAAACACATTATCACGTGCCAACCAATGAATGCTACAGAGCCAATACGAAGTCTAAACCCAAACTTCTTTGAGTGAAAGTCAAGAGCATGGAAACAATGGACTACACGTTTATACTGCTTAAACAGAAAATGGAAATATAACATATACAGCCTTTCTGTTGTGTGATTTTCAAAACGCTATGTAAGGTACACAGGTTCACCACAAAACACTATCTAAAACATTCTTCTGAATCATTTTTTATGTACTGTAACACAAGCTAGTAAGTGTCAAGGAAAAGCCATGACAAACTTCCCGACAAAGTAACTATAAGTAACAGCACCGTCTGTGTGGTCTTTCAATAGGTCTCTGCATAATATATTAAGCAGACAGATAACGAGTTCTGAGACATATGCTGACAGTAATAATGAACAGTTTATCCCAAAACCTTGTACTCTGGTTTGCAACTGCTACTGATCTCAACCAGCATTGGTGTTGGACAGAGTTGCTCAGTCTCAACATTTTGCTTTAACTTGCCCATCGATGACAATCTGAAAAGACTTTTTGATCTTACATGTGCAGGCGATATCGCCTTACATTCAGGCTACCTAAACTAAATTTATTTAGCTGGCGATTAATGTTTATACATCTGCTTTGCTTAATCCAAGTGAAAATTACTGTTGAAAGATTCGCGGGAGAATGTACCTACAATCACTCTTCCGGGCGGACTGCCACAAGCATTCCATCAGTTCATGTGTGCTGGCATGACAAATAGAGTTCTCAGTAGTATAGTGAAAAGCTGGGTGCCATACTACAACCTAAGCCAACTCCAGTGTCATGGCGACGTTAGTGTGGTCGTCGAAAGTTGGGTTTAATACGCTTAAATGTACAACCCTGACACAAGTCTATGAAACCCGGTCTCTACGATCCGAAGATGTGTGGAGAATGTGTATTTGATCCTTACTGTCTCCACAGAATTAACTGCACCCGGTGGCATTTTCATGTATGCAACTTTGATGTCCAGCGACGTGTTTGAGGATAACGAGGATTGCGCTTCGATGAATTCCATCTTGGGATAGCAATCTCGGTAGCTTGGTCATGGACTACGAATGTCAACACAGCAGCTTCCATGACGTTTCGTTTTTGTTGGTGATAGGAATAAACATAAAATAGTACATCATCCTTTCTCACGTATATTGTGATTTATTGTGTGATCAATCATTTCTCACGGCTGTAAGCCTTTACCATGGCAAAGAAAATGTATAAATATTGTGTCGTTTTCCTAATAAATATAGAGTATCTCACAGACCAGCCTTTGTCTTTTGATATACACTTGACTCAGTGAAGTGGAAGGCACAATGGATAATTAAGCGTATTAGCGTACCAGCCGAGTTCATTACCATCATAACAATTAGCGGCGCAGATATAACAGCAGTTCTCTACCTTTTCTGTCTTTCTGAATGTAATACGAAGTAATGAAAGCTTCTTTGAATGCTCTTGATATATAGGCTTATTTGTCTTCATGTTATCCCACAGCTATACTGTTTATCTTGATTTCTATGTTGCATCAAGTTTGTTTCAAATGAAATAATGAAATACTTTGTCGATTGACGGATATTCATAATATATAGGCGACAGAAACCAAGGGGGGGGGAGATAAGAGTAAACAAGAGCAAATAATAACGAAGATGTACACAAAGATTGCCCAGGAAGCCGTAATCAGGCTACAGGGGACTAAAATGTTCAAAACTAAGCCGTTAATTCAGATATTTATGTGCAATTTAAGAAAAGAAGTAAACTCAGTTAACATAATTGTGCTTCACTTGAAGCACGAGGTATGACGTTGAAACTCTCACTAAATAAAAAGCCACCTTAGAGAACAACTAAACTTGAACATTCATGAAAGGAATTTCCCTATTAATGATGTTTCAAAATATTGTACCTCGAATTGTAGCAATTTATCGCACAGAGGTCTTGTTACTCTTAAAAGTTTATTACAGCTCCAGGTGGTAGTTCAGTATTATTCGTAAACTGGAAAGCACAACTATAAACTAGATAAAATTCAAACATGCATATTCTTGTAATCACACTATCCGATACTCTGAGCTCCCTTCATTTATACATCATTTACTTGGTATACAAAATTCATTTTCATTGGATAGAGATATACTGGCGGATTTTAGAAGTAAATATTTCAGCTTATCATTATTATTATTATTTCAAAAGAGATAAGGCTAAATAAGATTATTTATAGTTATTGCACAAGAAAAGTGCTAAATATAATTACACAAAAACCCTATATGAAGGAGTCAAATATCACGATTTGTATTCACTAAACAAAACCCAAGCCACATTCAATCATTCGCGTTCACATACAATGTCATGTGACAAAGCTTAGTTTCAAATAGTAATGTCTCCGCCTTATATGTTTTATAGAATATCTACTATATTGAAATATTCTTAATTATACACGAAAAGCAAATAGCATACTGTCAAAATATACTATTCGCACCATATTACAAATCTTATAAAATATGACCCTAAATCCATGGAAACTTGCAATGGACAGTATTTAAACTAATACACAACAAATTTACTTTAAAAAATTAAGAAATTTCAACGAATTCAAATCTATAAGTTAAATTTCTTACGTTCATAAATATTATGGAAAGTGATCATTCTGAAAGATTACAAACAAATCTTTATTATTGTATAAATAAATCTAATAAATTGCATTCAACTTTTCTTTAAATAGCATATATAAAATGTGATTGATTCCTGCTTCTATGACGAAAAATAGA